CACGCTCTTCTTCTCCCTTCAGCACGGGTAGCAAGCGGTCCGCGGAAGACAGCGACGACTCTGAAGATCCTCGCCCCGCACGACGCACCCGACCTAAGAAACGACTCCTTTCCAATCTTACCTTAGGCGTTGGTATCTCATTCAGGGATGATTACGACGAGGTTGTCTCCTTGAATCTCCGAGTAAGTTCTCCAACCAAAGGTCTCCGCCATATGGGATATTTGCTGACTTTTCGTTCCGCAGATGAACTCCGACGCAGAAGACAGTCACCCCACAGACCGCACTCCCCCGGGTAACACTAACCCGGAACAACCGGACATGGGCGAGAAGAAATGTCGTCGCAGTAGACGACTTTCTCGCCCGCGCTCGAGCTGATTTATTTGTTTCTTGCCAATTTCTGGCTAGACCTTTGAGCATCTTTAGCGCTTTCTCTTGCATCCAAAAAAAACGGCGTTAGTGATGAAGCGATTGGTTTCTTGGGTTTGCATATTGCATAGCCCTGCGGGGCTCGCGGCCTATGGGCTTGCGGAAGGAGGCGTTTTGTCTGATTATGAATTCCATGAGGATTTTGCCTGGGGCGCTCCTCAACGATCTTGTTTACAACGATACCAGGGTTTCTTTCTCCCCACTTCTTTTAGAGTCCTTAGCTTTAGCTCTTTTTCGGCTCTCTTGTTTCAGTCTGGGCGTTGGCCGATGATCCAGCGTCGGTGGCGGACTGTTTTCACAGCTCTATTTGGTGGCTTGAAGTCTTTTATAGCTATTCAATGTCACACCCACTTTCTTGCTGGGCTCTGTCGGTCGTACTCATTCCCTAGGCTCTTCCTAGTGATAATAGTAGATATGGGTGTAACTCATACTTTGAACGGGTTGTACTCCATGTAACAGAACGGACCTACTTATCATTCCAAAATAGCACTTTACCGCCTGTCACTATGTACATGTATGTAGGTATTGAGAGGCCCTCGTCACTAATGACATTCAATTAACTATCCTAGTGCGTGTCATGTACATGAAGATATATTTATTTGATACTAGTCTAAAAGAATGTCTACAAAAACACCAAGCATGATTCGACAGAGAGCCGGGCAGAAGCCAAAAAAAATCTAATGCAGTTCGCTTGTGTTGCATGAAAAATCGGTGCTTGCCTTTAGTCCTCCAGTAGGAACTTCAGGAACGCCACCCCAATGGCGACACCATCATGTTCAATATTAGCTCTGCTCAAAGCATCCTGAGCTTGATCCTCCTTGAAAACACCGCCCTCGGCCCGAGTCTTGATAATCTCCGTGATAATGTCTCCCGTGAATTCAGGATGGCCCTGAAGGGTGATAAAGCGGCGCGGCATATACATACCCTGCACAGCGCAGCGCGGGGATGAGCCCAGAGGAACCACGTTCGGGGGATAATTAAATACAATATCCTGGTGCATTTGCTGGATGCGCTATTTGCGAGAAGGAAATTAGGTCAGGTGTCTGCATATGGACTCGGGTGCATGGGTATGTATGCAGCCTTCTGTTCCACATGACGCAGGCGCAGAGTACTCACGATCTTATCTCGCCCAAACAGCTCCTTTCCCTTATCGGTCAAATCCATATCACATACGGCAATCTCCCAACCTTGGTCGCTTCGTCCGACCTTGCTGTTTAATGCGCGGCCGACGATTTGATGTCCGAAGCAGATCCCGAGTAGGCGGACCCGGTCCTGCGCGAGAACTTGTTGGGTGAATTCGACGAGACGATTGATCCATGGGATGTCTTCGAACGAGTTGTGTTCTGGCTTATGATTACTGTGATTAGTGTGTGCATTCAATGCTCTGGGCCTACCGAGTCAACACGCACTTGATCCTGTTAAAAGCACGGCATCCACGTCTTCCAGCTTCAGGTATTTGTCGTCATTGACTATATCCCAAGCTGTAATTTCCAGTCCTGTTTCTGGGTCGAGTCTCTCTGGCTCGTTCAAGGCGTTGACACTAGCTTTGAGGAGCGCGCGGAATACCCCGCCATATCCATTATAGCGGCGGTTGATGCTGTCAAGGGGAGTGTCGCATTCCAAGACGGCTATGCGGAGCGGGGGGTGCATTGTTCTGGATAATGTGAAGCTGCAAACAATGTGATACAGTTATAAAACAAAAAGATATAGTTACTCCGTAGCAATTAATATTCCCTTATCTTATCGGACCCCGAGATCGGACCCTGCTGACCAACCACGCTATTCCCGATGTGGCAAACATCTACAAAGTATGAGCCTTCGGCGGATCGCCCTTTTTTACCCCTCGGCAATGCAATTGATGCTGTGTTGCATCAAATAAAAGGATCTTGCAGCCCTAGCGTTGGTATAAATATCATATTTCCATACGTCCGGATTTTCTCTCTTTTTTTCCTTATTTTTGTGTCACCACTGCTTTCGAAGCCCATGAGTCGTTGTTGATGGCGTTCGCTGTAATTACATTGCGTGCTTGCAGAATCTTCATCCTCATGAAATAACATTTTCATTCATTTGTCTTCATAAATTTTTTTAAAAAAATGCCCAGTGACAACGAGGGGCAATCATGCCCCTCTGAAGCCACCCCTCTCCTGCGCAAGAATTCGGTCCATCGGAAAACGAGTTATCACGATGTCTCGTATTCTGCAACGGATGTTGAATCAGTCTGCTCATACAGGGATACAGAAGAAGAGGAAGCCAATGTTCGCTGTATATCCAGTGCAAGCTCTGCCGAAGGACTCGATGTTGGTCCGGCTTCTGGGGCTGGCTCTCCCAACCAACAGCCGAACATCTTAACCCAAGATGAGAAGGACTACGCCTCGAGATTCATTGATATATCACCGACAAGGTTTTGGATCATCTTTAGTGGTATCATGATGGGCTACCTGATCGGCTTTTTTGACTCGACCCTCATGGCTTCAAGCCATCCAGTCATCACCTCCTATTTCAAAGCAGCCAACTCAGCCTCCTGGCTATCGACGGCCTTCTTGTTGACATCGACCGCATTTATGCCGCTCTTGGGACGCATCTCTGATGCATTTGGCCGGAAACCTGTCTATCTCTTCTCTATCGCCATGTTCTTCCTCACGACAGCAGGCTGTGGCTTGGCGCAGAGTATCGGCAGTTTCATCGCTGCCCGCGCGCTGTGTGGGCTTGGTGCGGGTGGTATCTTCTCCATCGGTCAGATCATCTCTAGTGACTTGGTACGTCTCGAGTATCGCGGGGTCTACCAATCATACATCAACCTGTGTCTCGGCATCGGCGGTAGCCTCGGCCTTGCCTTTGGGGGTTACCTGTGTGATCATATCGGCTGGCGGGGTGCGTTTCTCATCCAACTGCCTTTCATCTTCGTTTACTTTATAGCAGCCGCTTGGACAGTCCCGGCAGATCTCGGCATTAAACAAACTGGAATGGAGCGCATGAAAGTCTGGCAGTTAGTCCGGAGTATCGATATACTGGGATCAATCATCTTGATTATATGTGTGACTCTGTTGATCATGGGTCTGAACTTCGGAGGAAATGTCTATCCTTGGAGCCATCCGCTCATTATCATCTCCCTGGTGTCATCGTTAGTCCTAGCAATCATCTTGGTACGTTACGAGCTGCACGTTCCGCGACCCGTGCTACCAATTGAGCTCATGGCAACGGATCCTCGAGCTAGTATTATCTTTGGCAATTTCTTTGCCTCCATGTCTGTACACACCATGCTGTTCAACGCTCCGCTGTATTTCCAGGCGGTGAAGCTGACCAGCCCAACTGCTTCTGGTCTACGCCTTGTGGCCTCCTCCATAGCTGTGACTATCTCTAGCGTGAGCACCGGGTTCATGATTAACTGGACCAGACGTCTCAAACCTTATGTCATCATCGGTGTATGTTGTATGGTGATAGGTGGATGTGCAGCTGCATCCATGGGGATTGACACCTCTCAACCACTCTCCATGATCTGCATCTCATTCTCCAGTCTAGGTCAGGGCTTCGCATTTCCCAGCTTGATGGTATCCATCCTCGCAACGAGCGAGAAACAAGATCAGGCCGTCGCAACAACCACTCTGGGGCTGTGGAGAAACCTTGGCGCCGTGATGGGTGTGGCTGTCAGCAGCTGGATCTTCCAAAACAGTCTCATATACCAGCTTAACAAAAACGTTACTGGTTTTGAGAAGAAACATATCATTGCACTTGTCCGCAAATCTGTTGATACTATCGCTCACTTGGATCCAATCCATCGGCGAGAAGGTGTGTTTTATCCCCTTGGAATGCCGACTTGATTTGCTAATAACCACCCAGTCACTCTATCATATTCCGCTGCTCTTCAACTGACCTTCATATCTGCCGCCTTATGGGGAGTCATTGTGTTAATATTGTTGGGCCGAGTCCGACTACCGCGCTTGGGGAGAAAGGCCTAGACGATGTCCCTGAGACGGTCCCGTGTTTTCACACCAAAGATTGCATATTGGCTTCAAATTTTAGCCTGTTTCGTATAAGCTGTGTTAGAAGTACTTTAATTCTGACTGTATCTATTTGGGTTGATATAAAATGTATGCGTATACTAAACCCGTCGTCTCCGTATATCGGCGATCTTGGCAAAGCGACCCACCTTTTTTTCTTGACTTCTTTAACTTGACATCCACTTCTCCGCAACTTGAGAAGTCTGTGTGGCTACATAAGCAAGGGGCCAGTGAGTATTTCATACGGTACTTTCACATGAGGGCCATAATCCTCAGCTGACCCTTTTTTGCCCCAGGATTATTCGCCGATCCCTTCGTTCCTGCCCCTCCTGTGCCGCCGGCTGGTAGTTGGATTCAGAACTACAACTGAATATCAGATCGCAATCCTATTCTCTCTATCTGAAGCTCCTCTTGCCAGTCAACAACGAACATGGCCATCTGGTTAGAACCTACAACGGCATATTGTGTATCCGGGAAGCCTCTATCGGTTGGGACTCCAGTTGGCGCCGGGGACTAGAAACATAGTTGTGTTCAGAAGAGCAAGAGCTATCGCATTCGGCAGTTTATCAAGGAAATATGAACCTCCGAAAAGAAGCGGAGACGCAGCCGCAGTCGCCCAGCGCCAGCACGAGGACATCCACTCCAAAAAGCCAGGCAAGCGATTCACAAAGCACACCCCGCCACCCCAGTCGCAAGAAATCCTCAGATGCCCCAGATACCAAAGCTAGGAGGGTACGCACAGGCTGCCTCACTTGTCGCCAAAGACATTTGAAATGCGACGAAGCCGTGGGACGATGTCTCAATTGTCGCAAATCAGATCGCATCTGTCGACGTGGTGTCCGTCTCAATTTCATTGATACTCAAACTGTGGCGCCTCCACACATCATCGCTCGGCCCCACGGATCGAAGGTGACATTTCGAGATGACTCGCGTTTGATCGCGTCTCTGTATGTGGGAGGTTTCGAGATATACCCGCCCGTTCAGCCAGAGAGTCCTGTTCAAGAGAACCGAGAATCGCAACATGACTTTGACTTTATAGGGGATGATGATTTGACAAATCTTTTTCAATCAATGGCACATTCGTTTGACCCGCTGAGCTTTGATATCCCACACCCAAATGCAACGGACTTCGTTGGAAGTGATACTTGGCACCAGTCTCACTTGGTACCAGGAGATGAACTTCTTCCGCACGGAACATCAAATTTCGCGCGAAAACTGGCTGGGAAACATGAATATTATCCTTTTCTCACTGACCCAGAGCAAGTCTCTCTTCTCAGAACATTCATGGAAGAGGTCGGTCCCCGGATGGATATAATGGATGAAATGAACCATGTAGGAAAAATTCCCCACATTCTATTCTTGCAATTTGCTCACAAAGCGCAGTTTTCCCAGATTCTTCCGGGTTTTGCCATTGGTGAGCCTATGTTGCTCAAGGCATTTCTTGCGTGTGGTGCTAGACATCTTTCTATTGTAGACCCTTCTTATGGTGATGAGAAAGCGACACATTATTATGACGCAGCTACTCGGGATCTTCTGAATGCGATACATGATCCTAACCGTGACTCTGTACTATGCGCAACAGCGGCCCTTGCCCTCTGCTTCTCCGAACCCATGCAAAGCCAATCAAGACACAGTGGAAACCACAGCGCAGGCTCCCGGGCTTTGATCAGAGAATGTGGCTGGAATGCCAAAACCCCTGGGCTGGGTGGAGCATGTTTCAGGATCAGCGTCGGCGCAGAACTCCTGAACTGTATGCGATATAATTGGACATTGTCTTGGGATCCAAATACATGGGGAATCGATATGGACATGGATCATCCACAAGCCGCAAATGGGGGCAATCAAGATCTATGGCATCATCGGATACTTTATATTTTCGCGAGAGTCATGACCTTCAAAGCATCTTCGCGCCCATCTCACGGTGTGGTGCGGGCCATCCAGCTCAACGATCATGAATGGATCACTCACAACAGGTGGTGTGACCAATGGGCGAAATCCATTCCTAGATCCCTTGTACCTCTTGGTCATTTGCAGCCATGGCAAACAAGTTCCAAATCGGTCTTTCCTGAAGTTTGGTATGTCCTCAATTCTCGCATTCAACCTGTTCATCAACTAATATTCGTAGGCTTGTCAACCGATCTGCCATTGTTTCTCAATTATTCTACCACGCGACTCGTATTATGCTGGCCAAAACACACCCTTTCCAGTCAGAGTTCGATGAGGATATGCGGAAGATGCAACGCAGCCATGCGCACGAAATGTGTGGCATTATTGCCCACACCACAGATCGGTTAGTACAAATCATGACCAAAATTTTAGAAATATCTGTCTAACCAGTTGAGCAGAAGTGTGGCGGATATATCCCTGTACTTTCTTATACTCGCCGCAGAGTGCTTAGAAACACGAGAAGCCAAAGAGGAGGTACTCGGCATCTTTGATAACATCACGAAAGTGACTTGCAGCAGTGCTGAACCAGTCAAAAACGATCTCAAACAAATTTGGAGCTGGGCCGAAGCTCACCCACATATGGTGACGCCAGCCCAGATGCACAACCACTTCTATGAATTAGACCCATCCCTATCAGTCCCCAATCACCCGGTCTCATCTCCAAGCCTACACAATCCCTTGTTGACTACGGGTGACTTCTCATTGGAGAACCACCCGTATCAAGGATACTATGTGCCACCACATCACCACCATGCACTCAATCAGTATCACTATGGGTCATTCGATCTGATTTGATGCTTCAAACACTTTGACGAATCATGAATTTTATTGCCCAAATTCACATCCATACTGCTTATACCCCTGTGAATACAATAACGCTAGGTTTCGCTAAAAAATAAACCTCCATGGCAGGGCTGTTCCCACCTACTTTGGGACATTCACTGTCTATTTCAGTATTGCATGACTAATATGAAGCGTCGTAGACGATTAAACTAGCATGTATCTCAGTTGTTGAATTTAGAAATGGCCAGGAAGGTGTATTCTGTTCCAACTTGGGTTCAATAACTGTTACCATGTATAGATATATGTGATTTATTAACACAACAACTTAGCGACTAGAGAGAACGATGTTGGAGAATTATGACACTAGCTAGCTTTGACTGTGCAATACTTGCCACAACAGTCGCTACCTCGTGGCTTATGACTTCATAGTTATTTCATCTAGCTCGGCTCTTACATAAACAACCGATCATAACGACGTATGGTTGCCACAAACTTTGAATTACGTACTATATACGTTGAACAATTGGGCAAAAAGTAGCATGGCCAAGCTAAACGACAGGTTCGGGACTCTTCCGACAACTGGTATATTTGAAGGACGCCTCATCCTCCTTTTTGTGTATATTGCGTCGAAACGTTGAAAATTGCACACACAACTCACTCAGATTACAATATGTCGAACCCCGCCGAAAGAATCGCAGAAGATAATTATGAGAGGGACAATGACCCTTCGCCCGTGACCGGAACCTTCGCAGATGACTCTTATGTCGAAGAGACCGACCCAAGCTTGAAAGCACAAGTCCCCGTCCAGGGAGATGAACAGCCATTTGATGACCCAATCCAACCTCCTTATTCAAATTCTGATCAGCAGCTTGGTAAGTCCATATTGTATTTCTTGGCAAATTCTAAAGTATCAGGCAACTAATAGCGTCTGTAGAGAGAGACGAGAACGAAGCAATCGATAACTCTAATGTCCTAAAGGGTGACCGTCTCCGTCATGCAAAGCCTAGAACCTCGAACAGGTACAATGAGGGGCCAGGTGAACATGATCTGCCGGCTGAGCCTTGAGTGATTTGCAATTGTTCTTGATCTATCAATTTGTACGGATATCGAAACGCAGTAGTACAAACCACTTGAATTTCCTCCTGTTAAAGTATCTAAAATCTCGCTGAAAGTGTTATATACTATGCTCTGTACGTATCTAAATATTAACAATATTGGAAACCGTCCAAGCACAAATCTTCAGGAGTGTTGATGTTGATAAGACGTGCTCTAGTCAGAAAGAAGTGGTAGTTATATGGAGGCTTACTACAGCCTGGACCTCGGGAGATTGTTTATCCCTCAACTATCGTATATAAACCGAGTTAATCAGATCGGCCCCGGGGTAAAGGGCAGATTACCGATGTGAGGGAGTCCGTTCCCAAGTTTGCCGAATCGGTCGGCGAAAGTTGCGGTCACAAGTCGATATATAACTGCAATTCACAGCATTAATATTGAGAAAGAAAACTGGACTAAAAAAAACAAAACTCCTTGGCCAGTTCGTTTTCCGCGTCCCTTTTTCTATCAGTGACAGCCATCCAACATAAATATCTAAAAACAGACGCCAAAATCGCCAAAATCGCCAAAAAAGATCACGATGTTGTAGGTGAGGCTCAAGTGTGGCGGTGTAAGCAGGCAATTCCACACACCTCTGCCGAAGATAGAAGTTATCAATAAGCAACAACCACACGGTATTTGGGATGGACACCAAATCAGTTCAAGCTCAATCTCCAGCTACCCCAGTATACATACTTCGTGGGCATGCTTCTCCAATTCATGCCCTGAACATCTACAGCCAGAATTTACGGCTTGTATCCGGCGACGCCAATGGCTGGATCGTCGTTTGGGACCTGGTCACCAAACGCCCTGTGACGGCGTGGAAGGCCCACGAGGGGGCTATTTTGGAGGCGAGAGGCTTTAATGTTGACTTAGGGGCGACTGAGATTTACACGTATGATGATTCATCCACCCCTACCTAACCCTGGAGATATCGGCCATCCTACTAACATCTGCAATAGACATGGCCGCGACCACAAACTATGTGTGTGGAAGCTTCGACCAGAGGATGAATCTTTCCTCGATAAGACGCTTCCAGTGGATGCGGCTGAGTCCGTACAGCCAGAAAGTAAACCGCAGCCGTGGTTGCTCCATTCCTTGCCCGTGAATGCCCTCAATTTCTGTGCATTCTCAATAGCGTTTGTGAATGCGGATGGGCTTCCTGGAGCTCCATCCCAATCCGGAAAACCAGAGAATACTCTCTTTGCAGTACCCAATGCCTTAGACTCTGGTGGTGTCGATATTTTTCACCTACCATCTGAACGCAGGATCAGTACTATCCCATCCGATCAATCCACACAAACTGGAATGCTGATGGCTGTAAATCTCTTCGCGTCACCTTCTGGGGATCTCTACGTCGCCTCTGCGTATGAAGATGGCCATGTGATGGTCTTCGTTCATCGTGGAGCTCTCAAATCGGCCAGCTTTGAGCGTGAGTATATTAGCAGCAACCCTTTGAAATGGGACAAGCTTTACGCTGGCCACCCTCATTCCCAGCCGGTTCTTTCCATAGATGTCGCCCCCTCCCATAGATACTTCATCTCTTCTTCTGCGGATTCTCTGATCGTCAAGCATCCCATCCCCAGCATAGGGTCTGCGGGTTATATCCCTACTCCTGGCTACAAAGAAGAATCCCCTTTGAAGATTGTCAACACAAAGCATTCGGGTCAGCAGGGTCTGCAGATCCGATCGGATGGAAAGGTATTTGCTACTGCTGGCTGGGACGGCAGGATCCGGGTATACTCGGTAAAAACCATGAAAGAGCTGGCTGTGCTGAAGTGGCATAAGGATGGTTGTTATTCTGTAGCGTTTGGGGACACTGAAAGCACGTCTTCGTTGATGTCTTCATCGCCTGAGTCTGCAAGACAAGAACCTCGAGATCCAGATCAGGGCGCAGCAGGACAGACAGTCATCGACGTACGCGACTACTCTCTCGCAACAGTGCAGCAACAACGGAATCAAAAAGTACAAGAAACTCATTGGCTAGCGGCTGGGTCCAAGGACGGGAAGATTTCATTATGGGATATCTACTGAGATAAATGCTAATGCTACAAAACAACCATGCGCCCATGCTTTTTTGAGGGAGTCCACGGAGCGAAAAATCAAGCCAAGTTGAACTCGTTGGCTCCAGACATATGCTCCCTTATCTTGGCTCTCATCTTGCGAGCAGCCTCGTCCGTAACATTTGTTGAAGATGGTTCGTCATCGGCCTTTCTCTTATTGCCTGCAACACCGTTTCGGGCTGCCTTGAAGTCCTTTTTGGTGTCTTCTTGTCCAGGTCGCAGACCGGGGACGTTGATTTTACCTGGTCGATCGCGCAGGGCGAAGCTCTTTGCAAGATGACCTAAGTGAAGTTCCTTAATGTCGAACATGCTTCGCTCAGCTGAGGTGTGAGTCGCGTAAGCTCGAACATGAGATTGGAACGCCCGTCGAGCCATTTCCAGATATTCTGGGTTATCAAGTGCCCAACGCTCCACGTCCATCTGCCAATCGGTCGTCTTCTCCTCCCAGTTCTTCTTTTTGTTGTCGTTGCCGCCAAAACCACGCTTGAGAATCTCGTTTGCATCAGTGCGGGTGAGCGCCTTGCCTCCATCGCGGTAACCACGTTTTAGTACTTCAACATAGTTCTCTTCACAGCCAGGCTGAAGGAAGACGAGGGCACGGCCGTCTCGTCCAACACGAGCAGTACGACCAATACGATGAGTGTGGTCATCAGAGCTGAAGGCAGGGTCGTATTCGACAACCAAGTCCACGTTGGGCAAATCCAAACCACGCGAAGCCACATCAGTACAGATCATGACACAAGCCTCAGTACTGCGAGAGAAAGAGCCAAGGGTGGCGGTTCGAACGTTCTGGGGAAGTGAGCCGTGTAGTCGATGCAAGAGGACCGGATTCGCTGGGGTCGAGAAGGCTCTACCGAGAGCAATGGTGCCATGGGGTGACAGCTTTTCTTTTTCTTCATCTTTCTCATCCTTCTCATCTTTTTCTTCTCCGTCGCTCTTCCTTTGTTGCTCGCGGTCTTGATTCCTTGAGAATAGCTCAAAATGGAAATCGACTACGTCGGCGCAAGACATGAAAACAATCGCCTTCATCACTGATCCCTTTCGCATGAACGTCCTCTTCAAGTAGGCTGTTAATGAGACCAGACGTAGCTTAGCTGGAACAATCGCGTACGATTGCTTGAGCTGGGCGGGGACACGGAATGACTCTTCCTCGTCCTCATTTGGCTTCTCATCGTCCTCGTCGGACGGATCGGCTTTGATGTGTACCGCATCCTTTAAACTGATTTCTCCTAGCTTTTGGACATTCATCTTCAGCGTAGCAGAGCAAAGAATTGTCGTCCGGCGTGTAGGCACACCGGGAACGCGACTCGGGCGTTGCCTAGCGTCAAGTTTCTTGACAATTCCTTGAAGTTCCTCCTCAAATCCCATGTCCATCAAACGATCACCCTCGTCAAGCACGAGCCACCGCACATTGCTGACATCCAGCGCTTCCGTATTGTCGAGATGATCTACCAATCGACCAGGTGTTGCGACAAGAATGTTCAATCCTTTTCTCAACCGTGCCTTCTCTGATTTTTTCTTCTCTCCACCAATTACCGTTCCACAAACAAGCCAGTTCGCACAATGTAGGATGTTCTCCAACACGACGGAGATTTGCTTGCACAGTTCACGGGTGGGTGCCAAAATAATAGCGAATAATCCACTGTCTCGGTGGACTTGGGTATCGTTATGTTCGTTCTTCGCTTTTGAAAGGTCCATAATTCGCTGCACTAGCGGCAGAAGATAAGCCAGCGTCTTTCCGGAACCAGTTTCGGCCTGGATGAAAGCATCGCTTTCTTCCTTCAGCAATTGTGTAATTGAGCTTGTCTGGATAGCTGTCGGCGCCTTAAGTTCCAGCTTTGTGAGCAGATGTGCTGC